CCCCTTCGTGTTGCCGTCGCTTCCCTCCCTGCCCCCGCCTCAAAGGACCCCTCGGCTGTCTCGTCCCCCCCCTTCGTGTGGCCACCGCTTCCGTCTCTGCCCCCGCTGCCGCCTCAAAGGACGCCTCAGCTGTCTCGTTCCCCCCCCTTCGTGTGGCCGCCGCTTCCCTCCCTGCCCCCACCGCCGCCTCAAAGCGAGGCCTCGGCTGTCTCTCTCCCTCCCCTTCGTGTGGCCGCCGCTTCCCTCCCTGCCCCCGCCGCCGCCTCAAAGCGAGGCCTCGGCTGTCTCTCTCCCCCCCCTTCGTGTGGCCGCCGCTTCCCTCCCTGCCCCCGCCGCCGCCTCAAAGCGAGGCCTCGGCTGTCTCTCTCCCTCCCCTTCGTGTGGCCGCCGCTTCCCTCCCCGCCGCCTCAAAGCGAGGCCCGCAGCCGCGGGGCCTCATCGGTCGCTCACTCCCTTCCCCCGCGCGTTCCCTGCGCATGCGCAGGGAACGCTTGTTTAGTTTTGGGGGGATTTAAATATCCCCCCGATAGTTTTGTTAAGTTTTCAGATTTTTGTGCACACCTGGGGACTGCCCCAAGTGTCCACAGAAATCTCCCTGCCCCCCAGGTGCCCCCAATGTGCGGATTTAGATATCCGCACGCAGGGGGCGCCTTTCACTATTAGTATAAGGATAATATAAACCTTGTATAAAGATAAGAAAAATTGGTTTTTTTTAACTCCTTTCTTGTGTGTTTTGCTTATATGCTTTCCTACCTAGCCCTTTAGATAGGAAATAATGGACATATAGATGGAAAAATATCAGGTTGATGGGTTATTTTACTGTATTTTGATTTGTTATGATACTCTTTGTTATGATACTTTTTCATGTTTTATATTCTTATATTATGCAATGTCCTTAAAACGTGTTTAACACATGACGTTTTATGCTTCTCACCCTTCCCTTTATCCCTTTTTATTTTGTATCCCCTTGTCAGGAAGGCGAGGGTCCTCCCTTCCCGACTGTACCGGAGGAACCCCTGCGTTCTGACGCCAGGGAGCGGGCGAAATCATGCAGGTGTCCCCTGAAGGCCCCGGAATACTCCCACATCGGCCCTTCCGAGGTGGACCAGCAGGGAAGGGGGAGGAAAAGGATGGCCAGCCGGCTGGGCTTCTCGCCAGGGGCCCGACCGCTGGAGAGAGGGATGGGGAATGCATGGGACAGGGCCTCAGCAACTGGAACCCAGCCCTCTGGTTAGGTTCCTTTAATAAGGCGTGGGTGGTGGGATGCGCACGTGGGGAGTCAGCACAAATAAAAGAGGAGCAGGTGGAAGCCGGGGAGGATTGGTGGAGTCTTGAAAAGAGTGACGGAGTGGAGGGAGACGCGGGGCAGCTGCCCTTATCCACTCGAACCCGTCCTCCAAGACCACCGCCGGGTACAGAGTGCACCAACTCTGTCGGTGACATCTGAGGTGACCCCTGTTCGACTGTGCCGACTGCCGTCCTGGACCCGGCCCACGGCCCACCCGAACCTCAGCATCACCCAGGGACTGACACCCCTTTAAATGGTAAAATAAAATATTATATTAAAAAAACCTCAAAAAGCACAGAATTAAGAAACGGGCACAGATTTTAGTGTCACCCTTTCGAAAGAAAGCGAGTTTTTAGTCTTCGTTTTGAAAAGCATGGGAGCAGTGCCCAATGGAGCTCCTTGTGCCTCACCCACAGCCAGCAAAGCGAGGGACATACAAACTGAGAGATTACACAAATGTGCTCAGATGTGCTCTTTCAGTTCAGCTGTTCTTGCTGCAGAGACTGGATTGGACAGGATCTAATATCTTGTTTAAAGAGGCAGCGGACTTACCACCTAGGAAATGCGTTCTTCTGAAAGCAAGTCTTTGTGTATTAGGATGCAGCTGGTAATTGTGGGCGGAGTCAGAGGGTCAGCCAATGAGCCGAACCAGAGTGCATTTTTTTTTCCTGTGGGTCTAAGAGTTGTTGCCTACTGAGTTGTCGTGGGGTGGGTTGCAGCCCGGTAGATCAGGACATAGGGTCAATCCTTAGAACCACCGGCTCAAACCAACTGCCTTATTCATTCTCAGTTTACTTCCCACGATTAGAAAAGATACCTTTACACATTTATCCCCTATTTTGACATACTTATTGCTTTGCTGTCCTTTCTCCCCCTTAATTAGATCAAAACAACTGTTGACCTTATAACCTTTGTCTTTGCATATCTTAAAACATCTTCATCATGTTACAGCCTCTGTCTGTAAGTCTGAACTCTCACCTTCCATTCCAGTGTATTTGGAAAAGCGTGCATACACACGAAAGCTCATACCCTGAATAAACCTTTGTTTGTCTTAAAGGTGCCACTGGACTCTACGTTTGTTCTGCCTTATTCATTGGACTGCTGGATACTGAAACCAAGCCGAAATTCCCAACCATTGGCTCCCCTTCTGTAGAACTTTGGTGCTGCACAGAGCTAAAGATGCTGAGCTTACCGATTCTGGGTTCTTGACAAAAACCTTTGTGCGGCCCATCTGGTACTGGTCCATATCCATATTGACGGATCTCAACAAGTGCTGGACCCCTTGGCGCTCGTCTCCCCGCCACCTGGGCCATGTCTCTGGGGTCAGGATGGCATACCTGAGCACAGGAGGTCAATCAACCAATGTTTATCTATGGTCCAAGACCGGTGATCAAAGAGATACATATTCATTAGGTACCAACAAATTTGCTTTCAGCTTAAAAGATATCTAGACATATAACCTTAAAATCTTTAAAAGTTTAAAGATCCATTGTATTGAAAATTATAAAATATCTACGACTGAGCTAATTTTGACTTATGTGGAAGGTAGATAAGGGTTATGCTTGATCTGCTTTGTTGTGGAATTTTACCAGCTGTGCGCAGAATTTAGGTATTTGTCTAGAGACATATAATCACAACCCCGATATTCCATTCATACACGTCAGCAATACTACGACGACCATGAAAGATATGGGTTCAGACACTTTGTCAGGACTGAGGTGCCAAGGTGGGAAAGTTACATATAATCACAACCCCGAAATTCCATTCATACACATCAGCAATACTACAACGACCATGAAAGACTCTACTTCAAGGACACTTCCCATGTGAAAGATGTCTTTGAGACACCATGGAAGAGTTACCAAAGCTAGCCTCCCTAAATTCTACAGGCACTCACTCCCCCCCTCAGGAATGCAATGGCAGGTGAGGGCAAGCGATAAGGGTGTGGGAATAACAAATGGCTGGGTGCAGGGAGCAAACGGGATACAGAGAACATGAATACATTGGGTAAAAATACAACAGGTACAGTTGATCAAGTGCCCGAGTCTGACAGGTAAATGCTGTTCTCAATCCCACCAAGGGCTCCCTCTTTCAAAGGGGGGGAGGGGTCGAGGAAAGAAGGGTGTGCAGGACTTCCGCCATGCTGAGCTGGGGTCCTGGAGAAGCGGAAGCGCTCTTACCTCTGAAGGAATTTCTGGAACAGCCTGCGATAGGCAAACCCAGCTCTGCGGACACGGATATTCTCCTTCAAGCCCAGATATTCCACTTGGTGCTTCACCCTAAAAAGGAAGAAAAAAAGCATGTGATGTAGCCGGGAGACATACAGGACAAATGTCCACTGGTCTTCTACCACTCTGGCTCCCCACGCCGTAAAAAATCCAGGGGGTTGTAAATCAGTGATGGCGGTGAAGCCCTCTTTCATATTTCTCGGTCCTCCCCTGTGTGGGGGAACGGGAACGAATGCCAAACCAGTTTAATTCTCTAGCGAAGACAGGACATAAGGGATACTTTTGCCAAGTCTCTTTCTCTAGTCCGTTGCTCTCCGTTTAATGCGACCTTTTGTTGTGGCCTCTCTGATTCTCACGCCACTGAAACCAGACCCTAATCCTTCACTTCTCTCAGACAGCACAGGGCCTCTCCCCAAATCCTTCCACTGGAATTCTGTCACCTTCCTTACCTTTGGCGGTGCTTTCCTGTTCCACTAGTTCCCAAAACTCCATCCCGTGCCGGCCATGCTCTGCAGATATCCCACTCCCTCAGATGTCCCCATTCTTTTACTATAACTGCCCCTTCAGTTTGGATCAAGCCGTTTTTCTCTCATCAAATCACTCTTCAGAACCCAATTTTCCTGTGAAATCTTTGGCTCATGCCCCTAACGGTTACCAGCTTCTGGGGTGAAGCCCAGAGTCCTCCCATAATTACAACTGAGCTACAGACTACGGAGATCCCTTCCCCTGCAGCTTCAGAAGGCAGTCTTTATGGCACCGTACCCCACTGAGGTGAGGTCCCTCCCAAATCCTGCCCTCCCCAGGCAACACCCCAAATCTCTAAGAATTCCCCAACCCAGAGCTGGGAACCACACAGTCTCCTAACCCTTTCAAAGACATCTTTAATTTAAGAGAAGAAGAAGAAAAGATTGGATTTATACCCCGCCCTTCAGTTCCCAAAGGTGTCTCATCAGAGCAGCTTACAATCTCCTTTCCCTTCCCCTCCCCACAACAGACACCCTGTGAGCAATGCTCCCTCTAAGCTGTGGAGTCTTGTGAGCAAAAATTCTACTTGGTGAGCTCCTGGCATTAAAGCTGTGAGCGAGCGATTTGGCTACTGCATAAATCAGTTTGCTCTGGAGCCCTCCTTCCTGAGTTAAGGCAAAAATCTGTGAGCCGGAGGCTAAAAAACTGAGCTAGCTCACACTAACTCAGCTTAGAGGGAACACTGCCTGTGAGGTAGGTGGGGTTGAGAGAGCTCTTTCCAGAACTGCTCTATCTGGAACAGCTCTGAGAGAACTTGTGACTGACCCAGGGTCATGCCAGCAGCTACATGTTGAGGAGTGGGGAATCAAACCCGGTTCTCCCAGATTAGAGTCCACGCTCCTAATAGAAATCTCTGTTTCTTACCGGCTCTCTTCCCAGTCTCTAGGCCTCTTGGTCTCGTTGGGCTTAATGCAGCGGATATAATGGGGTGTGCACTTCATCAGGGTATTCACAAGGTCGTTGGCCTGTTTCTGTTGGGAGAGAGCCAAGATGCTTGGTGTCACCCAGCCACACCTAGCCACTACGAGACCCGCTCAGCCAACACTCAGAAAAAAGGCTGGGTTGATGTGGGCGGGGGATATGACGCAGAAGAATATTCCACACCACTGCAGGGAGAGGATCCAATCTTGGAACGCTCCCCTAAGTTAAACAAAAAAAAAAATCCCCAACTCCCTGCAAGCAGAAATCCAGCACAAGATAATATAAGGGACTTCCGGATCAGACCCAAGATCCTACTTCCTGTTTCTCACAGTGACCTCCAAAAGGTCTCCAAGCAAGGTGTGGAGGCCATCGCTTCTCCCTCTTATTACAACTGGTAGGCAAATGTACACTGCCTCTGAACATGGTGGTTCCAATAGCCTTCATGGGTAAACAGCCAGTGATGAGCCACGAGTCAGAGTGTGTTATATGATGAAGAAGAAGAGATTGGATTTATATTCCTTCCTTCACTAACCAAAGGAGTCTCAGAGCGGCTTACAATCTCCTTTCCCTTCCCCTCCCCACAACAGACACCCTGTGAGGTAGGTGGGGCTGAGAGAGCTCTGACAGAAACTGCTCTTTTTCAAGAACAGCTGTGCCAGGACTATGGCTTGCCCAAGGTCATCCAGCAGGTGCAAGTGGAAGAGTGGGGAATCAAACCTGGTTCTCCCAGATTAGTCCATGCACTTAACCACTACACCAAACTGGCTCTCTGTAAACACTCCCAGTGTCCAACTTGCAGGTCAGGGAAACATCAGGTGTATTGCCAAGCTGTGTTCTTTGGTCAGGAGTGTAATCCATTCTAATATTTTTTTCTACTGTACTTCTAATTACTCCGAGGTCTTTACAAATGGTTTTCATTCCCACAGAAGCTCCCTTACCTTGATTTTGGTACCGACTGTGGTGGGACGTCCCTTTTTGTCGGCATCAAGTTTTTCGGGGAACAGTGCCCGAATGAAGCCGCTAGAACAAAATGTTTATTGCTACATGAGGACAAGAATGCCACAAACATAAGCACAGGTGAATACAGGTGCTCCAGATAACATAAGATTAGGTTTAGGTCAATGGGCCATCTAGTCCAGCCTCCTGTTTCTCCCAGTGGCCAATCAGATGCCACCAGAAGTCCAATGATAAGGGCATGGATAAGAATTCTCTCCCTGTGACTGGTATCCAGAGGTACACTACCTCTGAACATGAAGGTACCATTTGATCATCATGGATAAAAACCCAACGACAAACTGCTTCTCCTCTATAAATTTATCTAATCCCCCTTTTAAAAGCCATCAAAGCTAGCTGCCATCCTGCTTCCATGAGTTCCACAGATTACCATAAAATCAGGTCACAGAGGCCAAAACTTCCTCTTATTGTTGCTCCTCCACAACAGGAATTCAGAAATTGACTATCTCTGAACACGGAGGCTCTGTTTAGCCATCTGCGATGGACCTTTCCTCTATGTCAGGGGTGTCAAACTCATTTGTTATGAGGGCCGGATCTGACATAAATGAGACCTTGTTGGGCCGGGCCATGTGTGTCATAAAATGTAATGCCAGGTAGCGGAGATAAAAACTTTATAAAGGACACAAACACAATGGAAGATTTCTTAAACTTTAAATAAAACATTGCTTAAAACACTAGCAGTCTTGCAATATTTTGTCTATTTAACAGTCTCTGATAACTGCCACCTCTTGCTCTGAGTTATTGCAGCAGCAGAACTGGAAAAGGAAGCAGGAAATAGCAAGGGCCTTGCAGGCCAGATTGCAGCCCTCCGAGGGCCTGATCCGGCCCCCGGGCCGCATGTTTGACACCTCTGCTCTATGTATTTGCCTAATTACTTTTTAAGACCAACAACATTAGTGGCCATTGCCACAAGTTCCACAAGTTAATCGGGCATCACATGCGGAAACACTGCCTTTTGATTGTCCTGAACTTTAGTGCCTACTAATTTCATTGGCTGTCTCCCAAGTTCTAAAAAAGAAGGGGAGGAGAGAAAAATCCTTCTCCAGTCCGCTCTCTCTATAACTTTCAGGATTTTATAAAGCTCTCTCGTTGCTTGGTCACCAACATCAAATATAAACAAACCCCATTAAATGTTTTCTTTTAGGGGAAATATTCCAATCCTTCAACAAAGAGGAAACATAAAAATTATTTTGATGATTGGTCGTGTTTCCCCCAATTTCCTTCTATGAGCGTTCCTAATGAGATCTCCTACCTGGTTTCTGACACACAATTCCAATGTTGTATGTATATCTGATGCCACTGAATCTGCTAGTAACTTTTAAGACTTCTTGCTTCATATTTTTAATACTGTCCTTATTTATAGATTTTACTTGTCTCATTGTTTCTTTCACCCATTTCATTCTACCACGTGCATCCTGGAAAGGAAACACTAATATCGGTTGAATTTTGGAATAAATAATAATAAATTAAATAATAAGCAAACCAGCAAGAATAATAAAGTAATGAGAACAATGTATGTTTTTGGGCTTATGGCTTATTATTTAGATTTAATAGTTATTATTGTCCTTAGTTATTATGAATGCCAATATTTATACATAATTTTAGTCGGTTCATAGAACAAAGTTCGAGTCCAGCGGCACCTTTAAGACCAACAAAGTTTTATTCAAGGTATAAACTTTTGTGTGCTTCAGACCAAGAGAAAAGGGCAACTACTAGGATGATAAACGGGTTGGAACACTTTCCCTATAAAGAAAGGTTAAGGCACTTAGGGCTCTTTTAGCCTGGAGAAACGATGGCTGAGGGGTGACATGACTAGGGTTGCCAAATTTATTTTCGCCGGGAGTGGGGGGCTCCCGGCCGGTGTTCTTGCTGTGCGCGCATGCGTAGCGCGCCGCGTGTACATCACCCAGAAGTGACGTCACATGCTGGGGGCGGGGCCACGCCATTTGAGGGGAAAACTCTTTGTTTCCCCCTCAAATGGCATGGCCCCGCCCCCAGCGTGCGACGTCACTTCCGGGTGACGCACACGCGGAGGTGGGGTTTCCCCCGGGCCCCGATTCTGCGGGAGCAGGAATCGGGGCTTGAAACCGGGGGGGATTCCGCCCCCCGGGGGCATTTGGCAGCCCTAGACATGATCGAGGTTTATGAGATTATGCATGGGATAGAGCAGGTAGAGAAAGAAGTACTTTTCTCCCTTTCTCACAATACAAGAACTCGTGGGCACTCCATGAAATTGCTGAGCAGTCGGGTTAGAACAGATAGAAGGAAGTACTTCTTCACCCTAAGAGTGATTAATACATGGACTTTACTGCCACAGGAGGTGGCAGTGGCTACAAGCATGGATGGCTTCAAGAGGGAATTAGATAAGCATATGGAGCAGAGGTCCATCAGTGGCTATTAGCCAAAAGGTATAGACAGGAACTCTCAGTCTGGGGCAAGGGATGCTCTGTATTCTTGGTGCTTGGTGGGGGGGGCAACAGTGGGAGGGCTTCTAGTGTCCTGGCCCCACTGGTGGACCTCCTGATGGCACCTGGTATCTTTGGCCACTGTGTAACAGAGTGTTGGACTGGATGGGCCACTGGCCCGATTCAACACTGGCTTCTCTTATGTACTTATGCTCTTAACATGGCTACCCACCTGAAACAGTTTACTCAAAGTATTTCATGTGGACAATGACTACGGCAGCCCTGCAAGGTCGGATGAACTACTTGGGCGTTCCCCCATTTCCTTTCAGACATTTATGCAACCACATATTCATTCATTCCAAAGAATAAATCGGCAGAAATCTGATCCCCTCTCCCCCAGAAATAGCAGAGGGGTGGTATGCCACTCCCCGCCATTCCACAGCTTATTTGAGGTGAGGAATTTCCCCCCCCCACTCTGGTTTATGCGTTCAACACACTCACAAGTCACTGCTCTGCATCAGCTCTATCAGATCGGTGAACAGCACATCCCGATTCCTCTCACAAAAGCCGCTGACGTCATAGGACACCTGGAAGCAGAATCCGACAACATCAGGTTTATTCTACGGTCTGGGAAGGAAATTTGTGTTCTGTCGGGAAGCCAATTCTAAGGTCTTGAAGAACAGACAGTAAACCCCAGAGCTTGTGAGAACACTCCCCCGCCCCCCACCCAAAATGGCCTGATTCTGCTCCTAACTTCTCAGATTCCCATTCTGACCTGCTAGGTGCTGCAGAGTCCCTCATCTGCCTCGTTTTTAATCCTGTCCGTCCTATAAGGAGCTCAGTTTGGCCAGCAAAAGGTCCTGCCTTCTGCCATTTTAACCTTGCAACAGCACTGCAGGGCAGCTAAGGCCCAGGAGTGGAATTCTGTCTCAAGAAATGAAATATGACGCCTCTGGCTGTCAATCTGTCAATCCGGACTAGCACAACCTACCACAGGCCCAAATTGAAATTATCGTATGGCATTGTGTGTGGAATAGCCAGGAGATCCCCGGGGGCGGGGGGGGGGGGTGTTT